GGCCCCGGCAGCACAATCAGCTCCGGGCTCTCTGCGCTGGGAGAATTGCTCTTTCCCAGCCCCTAAACGAACTCCTTCAAGCCCGGGCTGAGTTGCAGCTCAAAACCTAGAAAAACCTATTCTCTGGTAATGTAAAAAACCCAAATACAGGCTGACCCGTCGCACTAGGCTCTTCGCGCATTAATTACTTCCACTGTCAAAAAGCATGCGTCTTATATCCAGTTTGAATATTTCTACTGGGGCCTCCCATAGACTTAGACTGGATAGAAAGAAGAAATTTTTTACAACGAGGGTGGTGAAGCACTGGAACAGGTTGCCCAGAGAGGTGGTAGATGCCCCATCCCTGGCAACATTCAAGGTGAGGTTGGACGGGGCTCTGAGCACCCTGATCCAGTTAAAGCTGTCCCTGCTCACTGCAGGGGGGTTGGGCTAGGTGACCTCTAAAGGTCCCTTCCAACCCAAAGCATTCTGTGATTCTATGATTCTTTCTCTGGGTGTCGTTTCTCTTGCCGACAGACAGCAGCCTGCTGGCAGGCTCTCAGCAGGGAGAGAGCGAAGGAGTCCGTGTTGCCCCGTCCAGCCTGGCTGTGCGGATGAACCGGGGGATGCTGCCTCGCCCGTAGCAGCATGCCATCAGCTGTGGCGAGGCCTGACTCTCACCCCGAGCCATCAGCCCTGCAAAAATTTTGTTGACTAAATTGTTTTCCCTATCATTTCTTTATCCTTTTATTCATTATGCTGATGACTTTTGAGATGAGTCCAAAAAAGCAAGTAGCTGCCTTAGAGCAGCGCTTTGAACAGGAGGGTGCTGCATTTTAAAAAACAGGGCTGCTTAGTTTGTTCTATGATTTTTATAGCCAAAAACAACTGAAAAGAATGGGAGGCAGTAGCAAATTGATATTTTGCCAGTTGCAAAAGTGCTCGGGAGCCAGGTCTGGCTGCAGGCGCTCCTCACAGGGGTGCTGGAAACCACCATCCCCACCATCCCTTTAGGGCCAGTCCTTCAGCACCAAGAAAGTGATTGCTTGGCCACTGAGATCAACATGTACAAGCTCAAGCCTTGAATTTTTCCAGAAAAAAACAACGCTGTTTCCTTTCTTTTTAGCATGTGGCATTGGAAGGCTTTGTCCCTCTGGCACCTGCAGGATGCAGTCACATGCTCAGTACTTACTGTTTAGCTAGTTCCATGGATATTTGCTCCAAAGAGCATCCTTTCGTCTCTGGTATAAACACAATAACAAAAACCAGGGATGCTAGGCTCATGATTGTGTAAATGAAGCACACCCAGGACAAGCCAATGAGCTCTACAAAGGAAGAAAACATATCTTTTTTAATTTTCAAATATTACAAATTTTTTCTGTTGCCATATTTTTAAAGGCACAGGGGAAGTTAGAAAGAAGCTAGGCTGTTATTCTTAGCTCTCTTATTTGTGCCTGGCCATAATTTAAAAAAGAAGAGTTGTTTTGCTTTTTCTAATACTCCTCATGAAAGAAAATTGATCAGCCTGTATTGACCTGTTTAGCATGAAGCTATTGATTTATTTTGCTTGCGGTCACTCTAAATGAAAACCGTTGAGTAGCCACTGTTACTGGTTTGTGCAAAGGCACCGGGGGTCACAAGCACCTTGAATTTCTACCCATGTCTGGTTTTGTTGCATGTTCTTTCATGGAGCAAAACCAAGCATTTTTTCAACACTGTTGCAGTTGTCTCCAGCTAATCCTCACCGCCTGTCAATTCCCAGCATTTCCACTGCAAGTCATGGGTCCTGCACCAGAAAGGGATCCAAGAGTGAGCTCCTAATGGGGCCAGCCAAGAGCTAGCTGTTTTTTGAGCCTACAGTCCATGGACAGGCAGGTCCTCAGGCTGAGGAATGCACTCTGCAGCCCCTGGAAAGTAAAGCATATACAAACCCAACAGGCTGCTGCAGCCCCCTTAGCCCTTTTCCCTGCTGAAACTAAGCCAGACAGTTGAGACATTTGTCAGTTGTATCATGAGCTAAAAATTGCAGCTGAAGCTGCTAATCCAGCCGGTGTCTTCTGCATCAGATACCTAAGTGCAAGTGCTGCTGGCCACCGTGACTTCCACGTGTATTCATTTGAAGACAGAATTTCCAATTCTGCCTTTCTGCCGTAACTAGGAATGCGTATTTGCTTGTAGTTACACTTTCATAAATCCAGATTAGACCCAGCTAAGCCAACAGAGTTATTGTGGCTTTGCATTCATTGAAACTGAGACCAGAGTAACAGCTAGGTGTGCATTATCAAGTAATGCTGCGCAACAGGAGGGGGCCTTCAGTTGATGCTGAGGACCTGAGGCCTGCACTGTCTGTTTTCGGTGACATTTCCTGGGGAATAGGTCTAGTCTGGTCCAAGGACTGAGCAAGTGTTGGCAGCTGGAGTGCATTCACTCTGCATTTGCTGGTTTGGTTTTGTCCAAAAGCTTGTGCAGTTCAGGACTACCCTGTGATGGGAACCAAAGTGCAGTGAGTGGAGGCAACTAGATGATTTGCTTCTGAAGAGGACCCTTGATCTAATTAAAGTGCTACTGTGGACACACTGAGTGTGGCCTGGCATATTTTTTCCTAGTTTTAATCAAGACAGTACTCAGGGTTTTTTCTCTTTCTTTTTTTTAAAGAAAAGAAACACCAATGTGAAACTCATTTTAGTCACAGAAAACACTCATTTTCAAATCCGTCTCAAAATGCATCTAACAGGATGAAAACCACCTCAACTTTTTGTGGGTTGACTGCCTGCCTCTGGTGGGAAGTAATGTAGAGTTAAAGGAAACATGGAACTTCTGTTCCCTTACATATTTTGATTTTCAGCACATATTTTCCTCAGAATAAGACTGACAAATAAAATTTGCAGAACTTCTTATGAGCTAAAATTAGAAAAAAGTATTTGCCAATCAATGAATTTCAACATCAGCATTTAACCTTTTCCCTTGTTTATCATCACACTGTAAGTTACTATACTGTAGTCTACTTTCTTGCATTAGAACATTAAACATTTTTACCTGACAAAGACATCTTTTTCTAAAGGAAATTTTCTCGAAG